CATCAGAGCCCCGAGTCTTCACCCCCTTTTCCTCACCCCCAATAGAAGGCACAGAACGAGTCCAACTGCCCTGGACAGCAGCGCAACGCTTCCTTCAAGCCCTTTCCACGCGTACATCCCCCCAGAAAGGGACTCCGCCGCAACAAGAAAGGGGGGGCAGCCCCCAGAGGGGCTCAAGCTCCTCCCCAGCCTCGCTGTCACCGGCGAGGGGCAGAGAGAGGGAGCGGCAGGGACGGCACGGCACAGAGCGGGGGCCGCTCTCAGCGGGATGTCGGGAAAGCCGCCGGTCCGGCAGTGCCGGGCGGTGTGTCTGACCGGCATGGGGGGATCCGCCGAGAGCCTCCGGCCCCGTGCAGGGGCCGAGGGGCGCCGGGCTCCGGCCCTCTGGGCTTTATTCTCCGGCGCCACGACCCCCGCGGCTGCGGGCAAAGAAGGAAAGGGAGGACGGGAACAGAGAAGGGAAAGCAGGGGATGAGAAACGGTAGGGAGGGAGGTCGGGCTGCGGAGGAAAGCGGGAGGGGAAGGGAAATACCGGGAGGGGGGGAAGAGGGACCGGGGACAGAGGAGGGAGAGAGGGGGAATAGAAGGGAGTAGCGGGTTAGGGACAGGACAGGAAGGAGCCGGGTTTGGGAAGGAGAGGGAAATGGGGGAAAGGGAGCAAAAGAAGGCGAATACGGGGAGGAGGAAGGAGGGGCAGAGAGAGGGACAGGAGGGGAAACCTCACAGAGCCCCGGCTCCACCCCGAGCCCGCCCCGCCCTGCCCGGGATGCTGCGGTCGGCGGCGCTCGGCTCGGTTCGGCTAGATTCGGCTACTATCGGCTGCATTCGGCTGGATTTGCCTCTTCGGCTCCGCTCGGCTCGGTTCGGCTAAACTCGGAGCCGCTCTGCGTGTTCGGCTCCGCTCGGCTCGGTTCGGCCGAACTCGGAGCCGCCTCCCGTCCAAGGTGCACCGCTCGCTGCTCTGCTGCTGCCGAGGCACGGGAACCTCCACGCAAGATTAGACAAAGCAGCTTCTATGTTAAACCCTTTGTATCCCATAAGGAGAAAACTTCTCTACCTCTGTTTTCTCATTTTTCTTCTTTGATTTCAAAATCAGAGTTACAAAAACCTACTCAAGTGCAAGTAAAAGATTTACTAAGTAGTCAATGAAGTTGTCCTGTAAATTTCATAACCTATAGAAAAAGTTATACTTCTGTTTCCACAAAAAATAAACCACACGAGATTCCTACTCACTGTGCCAAACTTTATTTAAAACACACCAAAAAAACCTCAAGATAAAAACTCGGAGCCGCTCTGCGTGTTCGGCTCCGCTCGGCTCGGTTCGGCCGAACTCGGAGCCGCCTCCCGTCCAAGGTGCACCGCTCGCTGCTCTGCTGCTGCCGAGGCACGGGAACCTCCACGCAAGATTAGACAAAGCAGCTTCTATGTTAAACCCTTTGTATCCCATAAGGAGAAAACTTCTCTACCTCTGTTTTCTCATTTTTCTTCTTTGATTTCAAAATCAGAGTTACGAAAACCTACTCAAGTGCAAGTAAAAGATTTACTAAGTAGTCAATGAAGTTGTCCTGTAAATTTCATAACCTATAGAAAAAGTTATACTTCTGTTTCCACAAAAAATAAACCACACGAGATTCCTACTCACTGTGCCAAACTTTATTTAAAACACACCAAAAAAACCTCAAGATAAATAGTTCCACAACCAAAACAAAATGAATAAGTAACACTAAAACCACACATCCAAATGCAGCGTTTATCGGTCACTAATCCTCAAAATCCATTTTCTACATGCATTGTTAGGATGCCTCTTCACAACTAACCTTATCCCTCACAAACTTTAAATTGTAAATAAAAAAAATCCTATACATAACATAAACTCTTAAAATAACATTTATACACTCTTGTCCCAAATTACACAAAACTTAAAATTATTAAAATAATTATAAATAAATACTTGTAAAATATTTAGTTACCCAAAAAAAAAAAAAAAACACACAAACCCACAAAGAAGTTACCTCAAAATATCAAGCTTACAATTTAAAACAACCCTACTAAGACCCAACATAACAATAATACATCAGAAAAAAAATCAAAGAAACACAATCACTCAAACAAAATTTACTTCTCAATATCAAAATAGTATAACCTTTTAAAAACCTAATTCTATTCTTTGTAAATCTATTTTAAGACCTAAAATAACAACTCACATGTTAACTACATTAAATAAACTTAGTTATTAACTAACCAAACAAAACAATAATACATCTATAACCTTAACTGTTACTACTAAATATAAATGATGTTAAACATTTATAAACATTTATATAAACTATAAATATAAACATTGATGTTAAACTACTTTACAAAATAAAACAAATTTTTATTAACACACAATCATAAATACCAAAATTAGAAAAAATACATTATATAAATTTTTCAAATCAATAAATCAATTTACAAAAACATTTAAAACTTTTTTTAAAATAATCAATTACACATAAATAAAAAATAACTAAATAATATTTTAAAAATTAAAACATTACCAAATAACTTTAATTGTTAGTAAAAACTAAAATATTCATTTTATTAATAATTATAATTATTACTTTATATCTCCCCTACCTACTTAAATTTTTTCAAAAACCCCTACAAAAATCCTTAACAAGTATATTTATAATTCAAATACAAAAAAAAGTACCAAAAAGCCATTAACATGAAGACAAATAAACACATTAAAAATGCTTACAATTAAAAATTACATACCTTAATAAGCAATATTCATACCCTAATGACTTATTATAAACACTTTCCAATTAATGATTAACATTAATTACTTTATACCAAAACATACAAGAAACTGTTACTTTATCCAATAAATATAATAAACTATTTTTATATAACTAATAACTTAAAATCACACTTTATCAAAAATATAAAACTTAAAAACAACTTAAAAACCCCATTATTATCACTACACCGATATATATATATATATATATATATATATATATATATATATGCATCTCATACATCCATCTCAACAATATGGCAGGAGCTCATTAGGCGGTGACTGCACTCGCGCTAATTAATGGTCACAAGAGCAGGAGGCTGGATTCGGCCGAGCTCGGCTAGATTCGGCTCACAGATTTCCTGATGGATCAAGGCAGATTCCCACTTTTGGCTGGGGGCGCCTGGGTGTGAATGGTGGCTTTTTCCCACAGGTGTGAAAGATTTCCACCCTCGTGTCTTGGAGCCGGCTCAGAGGAGGCCCCTGGGAGTCGAAGGCCAGCCCTAGTTCCTGGCAGCTTTCATGTGGGAGAAAACCTGTGATGTTTGCAAATTTAGGAGACAGAATTTCACTTCTCGCCACAGGGGCCCGGATGCCAATGATGGCTCTTTTTAGAAGGAAGCAACGTTTACCACCCCCATGGCTTGGAGGCAGGTTGGAGGAGGCCCCCAGTAGTCCAAGGCCACCCAGAGCCATGGTTACTGGCAGCTTCTGTCTGGGAGAAATCCCTCAATGTTCCGAGTTTGAGGAATGTGGCAGCCCACATTCCCACGGGTGCCCCTGGCTTGGCAAGAAGCCTGGCACATCCTAGTTCAGGCCGTTGGATTCATTTGCCACCTTCTACTGCAATTATCCTGCCATGGAAACTGTTAAATCACAGACTACAAAATGAGAGACTCTTCCTGAAACAGAAATAAATTCCAGCTCCAGAAAAGCTCACTGACACATTTAGAAACACTTCAGCAAAGCAAACCCTTGGAAAAAGCAAAGGTGGTTTGTGGTCACCTGGGTCTCCTAGGCTCTGTGAGCCAAAGGGGAGAGGAGTCTAATGATAGGAACAGGAGGACAGAGAACAGTCAAGAGAGAAATGGCCTGAGGGACAGGGAGGAAAGAAATGAAAACATTGGGGCAGGGACCTAGAATGAGAGCATCCGAGAAAGAAAAAGTGTACTTAGAATACAGGGCACAGAGAGAGAGAGAGGAAATAAAAGTTGATTGGACATCACAAAGGCCTAGAGGGTATATGGGGAGCATTTACAAATTTGGAAGACAGATAAATGGAAAAAGACAAAAATATCAATGGACTGAGATAGAGGATGAAGACAAGAGAGATGGAGAAGAGGATGGAAGTGCAGAAAGAAAACGAAAATAGAGAGGTAGAATGTGAGAGAAATACACAAGATTAGACAATAGGAGAGGGAGAGGTGCAGGAAAGGAGAAAAAATTACATCAGCAGGAGAAGGGTGGTAGGGATGGGATGCAGAAGAGGGGCAACATGGACTAATGGGCCCAGGACTCATTGCAGCTCCCACTTAACAGCTGCTGGGGGAATTTGACAGTTCAGATGTATCTTTGTCGGTCTCTCCCTCTCCATCCCTTACTCTGTACTTCCAGTGGCCCAGTTGTCAGCCACCTAAGACATTAAAGTCTTACAACTTTAACAGTATGAGGCTTCACAAATACACAGCTTCACAAGTGCAGACACTACACGGTCACACATACAGGCCCTGCGGTGCCGGCGGTGATCTGCTAAGGACCATGCCTACAGAAATTCTTCTTCACTCGGAGAGACAGAGGAGATCCCAACACTCCTCCCCGGCAAGAATGACACGGTTTTCCCGTGAAATTTGCGGGGTTACTTCTCAGACTTTATCCCTGCACCCACTCCACCCCCCCAACTTCCGCCTTCCCGGTCAAACGGGCACTCCTCGCAACGCAGCGCTGCCGGAGCTCATCTCCACCGCGGTGACCGACGGCCTCGGGGGGACGACGCCACACGCACCGGGAAGACTGCGGACTTCATTCGCCGCCCGGCATGTGGCTGGGACGGCGCGATAAGACGGGGCAGGAAGCTACGCCCATCTCCCGCCGAGCCGAGCCGAGCCCCGG